GGAGAAGCCGTGCCGTGAGTGGCTCTGTCCATNTTAGTGGAGGAGGGGAAGGAAACAAGGCAGAGAAAGAGGGAGGATGGGAGTATAGGATGCCGGAGGAATGCCAGACAAAATGAGAGTGACATAATGCATCTTGGAATGGAATTTAAATATGAACTAAACTCGAAAAAGTCTAAGAAACTTAAGCCATGCTAATCTGTTCATTTTCTCTCATTTGCCTTCACCAAATGAATGAATAATTTACACAAAAAAGGCCCCAACCACCAGACTGTATAAATGGAGAAAGGAGGATTAAGTGAGACTAAATGGATATATGTTACAGAGCAAAAGCAAGGAGAGTCTGTAAGTTCCTTTCCTTTGGGCTTGAAGCAACCCTTTTCAACTCCTAGCTGTGCACCACCCTTTCCTGTTTTTCCTTCTTTTCCATTCCTTCTTTTCACGGCCAGAGAAGAACAGCCTTTCTGAGCAAGGGAAGCCCAGGCCTTCCCCCCATAACGAGTTCTATGACTGAGACGCCAGCTTCTTTACTGCCGCAGTGTATGCTTCACTGTGTCTAGCTCCCTGAGTCCCATGGTCATTATTCATGGCCAGCCTTGCTGAGTACTTCTAAGCACTTGCAAATGCAGCTCAATTTAAAGGATAGTAAATCCTCTTCACAGCTAAGGTTTGGTTGGCTCAATTAGGCTGGGTTCTACCCTATGGTTCTACCCCAGTAGGTTTCACAAGGGGGTTTCTTCAGGGCACACCTGGGGAGCCCAAGCATACAACGTTTTGTATCAAATAATTAATAATAACAATTAATATGATATAATGGGTTATTTTAGTCAAAAACACAACCTATGTTGTCATCAATTACATTGTCATAGATCATGATAGTCTGGTAAACATTCTGCTGGTCAGCTTCCTCAGGTTGTGTCACGGTGGCTTCTTGAAAACAGAGAAACTAAGAAAAGAGTCATCATACTGATCAGAACTCTTGGTTTGTTGACCAGGCATCATCTCTGGTTATAAGAGGTGAAGTAGTGGGAGTTGATGGAACATAGTGAAGACTGACTATTTACTACTGGTGGTTAGCCAACGCTAGCTAGCCAGCTGTCTGCAGATTTCAGTCTGGTGTCCAAACATCACCGAGCAGGAGCAGAGTGTTGCCTTCCCTAGTTTTAGCATCTAGCAATGACTTTGTGGGTTATGGTCTATTTTTATATGCACAATAATTCCAGGTGCTGCAGGTCTTGGTCAACTGTCTTGCACATAAACAAATACTTTTACACAATATTTTAAATTCAAATATTTTATTGAATTGATTATTTTGTAATCAAACAGTCTTAGATTACATTAGATGTTCTTTATTGATCCCAATTTGGAAAATGATTTTGTTACAGTAGCAGCATATTAACAAGGCATTACAGATTATATAAAAATGAAATGTAAACCAGAAATAAACAGTAAATATATACATATCAACAGTAGTAAGATAATGTATTTGGAAATGCCACAATATACAGAATACAAGTTGTTTCTGGAACTGAAGGCCTTTTTACTGAATGATTAGCAACAGACTGCAGTAGGAGGATTGTGGGAATCATGGTGCTACAAATACAGCATCCCTTCATGGCTCCCAGAGCTCACATTTCCCACAGTGCAGTAGGAGTGTTACAGGTTACTATCCTGGTCATACAGCGCTCCGTCTCTCAGGAATGCCTAAGATGCTTGGCCCGTTTTAGTCACGCACCTCAGTCTCTGCCATGCATCACCTTCCCCTTCCAACTGATAACGCTCTGCAAAGCCCATATAACACTGGGAAGCCATTAGTCACAGCTCAGGTGTGTGAGACAAGTGGACAGGCGTTGAGGAGTTAAATGTGTGTATATACATGCTCGTGTCATGCTGAGAGAAGCGTTGGAGCAAGATAAACTGTGCGAGAAAACCCAGCTCTGTCCCGCTGCAGGAAACTGTCTGGAATGTATCTTTCTTTCATTATTCCCATGGATAACTATATACGAGCATTGTGGTTGTTATTCAAGACCTTGTCCCTCCATTTTGCACATTTTTGATCTCTGTGTGTGCCACAACCAACATATTCAAGCTTATTGGAGCACTGTTCAACTCTCATATATCAAACTGACTGTTTTTATTTATAGTGTTGTCTGTTAATAATACAACATAATGCTTTCTTGGCATTATCCTACTTATAAATGGAATGTTGGTTTGGTTTCTGAGTATGCCTCCTCAGTCAAACTTAGCTTTCCCACCGACGAGTGCAATCTAAGGCAAAAAGTGTTCCACCAAAGCTGAGAAACGCAAAACATGGTTACAGTAATACGACTGGGGAAGTTAAACTTATATGAAGCTTAGAAAATATTGTTGTGTCACATTAGACACAACACATAGAGCTGGAAGCCAACAGGAAGTCAGTCTTGTCACTGCTGCTTATCTATGAAATGAAAACTCTTTGAAATGAAGTTGTGATTTTTCACAGCTGCTTCCTGTAAAGATACAAGAGAGACCTCATTCCAAGAAAATCCAATTGTATATTAAATATACAAAGAACCCAAAGAATAATACTCAAAGTGTTCTCCTTTCTTTGGCTTTAAACCACCTCTTTTGTTTTTCTTTCTTATTTTCTGACTAAATATAAGTTTTTCGGGAATGATTTGTGTTTTTCCATTTTAACTCTGCCTTTTTACTTCCTAAATGGTAGACATCAATACCGTTGTTTTAGTGGCCATGTTAACCAAAACCAGCTTGAAATGCTGACAAGACATATTTACGTCGTCTGAACTCTGCATTTTGGAGGAACACTTGAAGGCAGCATAACATCCTGCTCCGTGCTCTTTTCCTGCTCTCTGTCCTCTGCCATATTTTACAGTAGTTTTTCATTACACAGTCCTCTGTGCAGCTGCTAAGCTTCACGCGATCAAGGACATCGGGGTTATTTTTTCCAACTTGACACCTCCCTGGCGTTTTGTAGACGTAGTTTGCATTTGAATGATTCCCTGGAACTGAAGTTCAAACCCCAGCGAGTGAAAAGAAAATATCTGAGTGTGTGGTTTTGTTATAACAGGAATGCAAACTTAGATTCCTTCATTTTCGGCTTGTTTTTCACTGACAGCAGTAGTTCATTGTACATGTACATACATCACAAACTGCTGCATATAAACAAACCACTTTAAATAAACATTTTGTGACAGTTATTCTCTTATCTATTCTTGGGTAGTAATAACAGTGTACCAGTGTCAGAACCAGGTAGAATGCAGTATGTATCTCACATACACAAGCTAACACACACATTTGCACACTGCCCATGTACACCAGTGGGGATTCAAGCCAGCTGATCTAATCTGGGGGGCTGTAGACAGACCGTCTGCCCCTCTGTGTCTATATAAACGGACACACACACACGCACACACACACACACACACTGGAATGCATCACTCAACACTGCGCACACCGACCATCAGAGCTTCCTTCACCACAGTGTGAGGGAATGCAGTCTCTTAATGTAGCCTCTATGTATAGCCAGTAACAGCCACTGGTCCAAAAGACAAATCTTTATCACTCTGTCTGGCTCTAATTTGAACCTCATGCTTCATATCCAATGTGGTTGACATTAGCTTCTGTGGAGACTATCTTAGAAAAGGCTCCCATGAGTTTGTTATTTATGGTCAAGCGGGATATTGGTTTACATTCCACATGTTAATTAGATTCGGCACACGCTGATCCCTTGCCAGTGCACCTTAGCACAACACTAGACCATTGAGTCTGTGTCTCTGTGTTGGAGCCTGTTAGATCTGCCAATAAGAGGTGGTGAAAATCCCCAAAGTGTGTCACTCGGCGATAACCAGATCTTTTAAGACAGCAGCACTAATGTGGAATGTCTAATGGTAGTTTGGCAGGGGGCACTGAAAGTTCCTACAATGTCAATAAAACCTAAGCTCTAGTTAGGTCCTTGAGAGAATGCGCCTTCCCAGTATTTGTTTTTGGTGCTAAAGCTTTATCCCAACAACATTAGCATGTTTGTTTTACATAACCTTAGCTCGGCTCCCATGATTCAGCTTTAACCTCAAACTCAACAAGGTCTTCTCAGGCAATTTTTTGCAATTCTAGCAGTTCTTCAGCGAGTCTGAAATATCTCTGCAACTATTTTATGGCTTTCAATGGAATAATGTAAAGACATTCATGGTCCCCAGAGGGTGTATCCTGTTTCTTGTCCATGAGAAGATTTAGCGCACCAGTAGGTCAACCTTTTAAAGCCACTTGATCAATATTTTCACATATTGTCACAAAGTTTGGTAGAACAATGAATTGCTGTACATTGTACTTGCTAAACATCATTCTAGCATTGTCATTGTAAGGATGTTATCAAGCGTTTGCTCAAAGCGCTGTACAGTTTCAAAGAGCCCCTATCAAGACTGTAGACTGTTCACAAATCCGCTGATTAGTGCGAGGAAAGGTCCTTCAGCCCACTTATCCTTTGTAAGTCATAAGCTTTGCATTAAGAGTAGGACAAGAAGCATCGATACAGCTGAGAAAAAGCCTGCGCACAGACAAGGAATCAATATAACAGCCAGAGAGGGGCTGCCTCTGGGGAACTGATTCTATTTACAGTGAAAGAGATGGGAAATGGAGGTTGCAGTCCAAGCTAGTGTGAGAGTTTGTGTCTGTACGTGAATGTATGCATGTGAAAGTGCTCTGAATTGAGTTTGCTGCCTGTTAGCCCTTTGACCGGCTCAGAATAGCCAACCCCTGCCATCAGATAATTTATGATCTCCAGTAATAACCGAGCCATTTACACATTAAATCTGTCATCTCTCTGGGGCGCTCGCTCGCTCGCTCTTCTGGACCCTTTGTCCAGGAAATTGTAAATTCAAGCATTCAGGCTACCAGGCACACAAGCTATTGTTGTTAACAAAGAGATGTTCATAGACGACATATGGCTCAAAACACCAGTAGCTAGATGAGATGACAACAACCAATATTTGTTCTACTCTTTTTTTCAGATGGACCTGAAGCTGCTCTTGGTATCCATATTGTTTGGAGTCTTTTGTTTCAGTAATGCTCAGAAAGGTAAGATAACTTACATACTGTAGTATAGCTTTAACATCATTATTTTGTCACATGATTTTGTTGATGTCAGCATGCATAGTAAACACGACATTCATAATGATGACCAGCTCCACAGAGAGGGAGGCCATCTACTTAATCTTAATGATGTCATTGACCAGCAATCCATCTACAGAGAATAGAGGATAATGGAAAAGAGGGGATATTCTGTCTCTAATTACCATTGAGCCACACAGTGTTCCAGATGAACTGATGTATAAACATGGGGGGCTTAACAGGCTGCTTACTTTGCACGGCCTGTGCTGTGACCGTGCTCACTCTGACACCCCCTCTCTTCTCTCTTTGTTTTCCATCCAGAGGGGAACGAGTGCATCAATGCCAACGCCAAATACTGCGGGGAGTGCATCCAGGCTGGAGCCAAATGTGGCTGGTGTAAAGACCCGGTGTGTGAATCTCAGCTGTCAGCTGTAGTTGTGCTGAGAAATGCTTTTGGATGCCAATATAAGGCCATTAGGCATATAGCAATAGTTGGCAATGACCATGCTTAAGTGTGGGGCTGCATCTTATGATTTTTTTATTTGCTTTTCTTTAAAAAAATCTGAAATCATTTAAAAATAATAATACATTTAGCCTATGATATGTCAGAAATTAAGAAACATTTTTTTCCAGAGCCAAAGATGATTACTTTAAATTCTTACTTTTCTAACAAACATTCCTCAACCAAAAGTAGTTTCATTTGCAACAATAGAGCCAAAAAGAAACTGTTCCTCAGATGCAATTATTAGTTGATTATTGATTTAACAATAAACAACCAATTAATCTGCCACTTGTGTTGACAAGTCAAGTTTTCTGTTTCTCTGTATGCACCACTTATACCAAAGAAAATTCCGAATATGTGAAAACTACTTTTTCTGATCAATTTACATTTGAAATTTCCAGTGTTAAGATTTCATGCTTATCCTTGATTTATATTATTGTAATTTGAATACATTTGGGTCATTTTTTCATATAAAACAAGCAAATTAAAGACGTCATATCGAGTTACAAGGAGCATATTGAATTGTATTCTTATGTTTTGCAAAAATTATCCAGTCATCAATCAATAAAATAAAAGTGTAAATATATATTGTGTCGCATGACAGCAGATTGTTGATGAACTGTCCCATTGATTCTCCCTGTGCTGCTGTTTCCAGGAGTTCCTGAAACAGGGTGAGACCGTGTCGACGCGCTGTGACGAGCTGCAATCTCTGATAAAAAGGGGCTGTGATGATGATATGATCGAGAACCCTCGCGGGGATCAGAAGATCCTGAAGAACATAGCGGTGACAAACCGCGGCAGGGGAGAAGGGAAACAAAAGTCAGAAGCCAGACTGAAACTGAAGCCAGAGGAGATCACTCAAATCCAGCCTCAGAAACTCAACCTGACCCTCCGATCTGGTGAGAATACATTCTAATGAAGCTCTCCTGAAGCTATTACTTACCTTCTTTTTACAACTCTGACACAACTTCTAAATGACGGTAACTTCATATAGGTGAGCCCCAGTCCTTTGACTTGAAGTTCAAACGAGCGGAGGATTATCCCATCGACCTGTACTACTTGATGGACCTGTCCTACTCCATGAAGGACGATCTGGAGAACGTCAAGAACCTGGGAACCAGTCTAATGCTGGAGATGTCCAAGATCACCTCGGACTTCAGGATAGGTGAAGATTAACATTTTCTCAAGTGTGATTACATTTGACACTAAATGTAGTTGAAACTTGTTAATTATAAGGTACAATGACATTGTATGTATTTACTGACTATTGCAGTGATATTTCTCTTTACATCTAAATATCAATACAAACATGAACTGCTAGATTCCAATACTTTAAATGGTGCCAATTGGCTCAAATGTAAACAAATGAATACTGAAAAAAGAGCTCAATTTGTAGCCCACAGTCAGTTGTGACTTACACCCTGACTTAGTAAGGGAAATTGTCTAAGTTCTATCATTTAAACACTATAATCAATCCAAAGAAATTGTATTAATATGATTTATTTCATGTTGCACTACCAGAATATTGTTTTGCAAACTACTAATGCTCAGGGTGTCGAATCAACACGGTTCATATAAAGATGTTTTTGTTGAAAGCCTGTGTGCAAACAGATGAAAAGCGTTTATTAATTTGGCAGTGTGGGTAGTGTAGTCTTTTGATGTTCGGCCCACAGTTTCAGACTTTGAAAACCATGAGGTAGATTGACTGTCTTGTATTTTCAGGTGTACTGTTGTAGGTATTTGTTGCCACCCAGCTTTGAATGACCTTTTTGTGACCTGTACAAACAAACCAAATAATCAAACTCTCAGCGACCTTCTCTGAACAATGTGGTGTCAACTTACCCTCAGACTAAAACCAAGCTACATTTAAAACCAACTGTCTTTTAAAGGTTTCGGTTCCTTTGTGGAGAAGACGGTCATGCCGTACATCAGCACCACCCCGGCCAAGCTGCTGAACCCATGCACAGGAGACCAGAACTGCACCAGCCCGTTCAGCTACAAGAACGTCTTGAAGCTCACCAGCGACGGCAAGAAGTTCAACACCCTGGTGGGCAAGCAGCACATCTCTGGAAACCTGGACTCTCCCGAGGGGGGGTTCGATGCCATCATGCAGGTTGCTGTGTGTGGGGTAAGCAACAAAATAGAAGCCGTTTCCTATCAGTGATCCTGTCGGGGGAAATAATCCTTCTCAGGTTCTCAATTCAAGGCAGTTTTCCCACAATTACGGCACTTGCTTGGAGGGATACAGCGCTAATAAATGTGGTGATATGTGAAAAAGCTGTTTTATGAGTCCTTGGTGTTCACAAGGAGATTTCTGAATGCAGTGATTATCAGTAGTTCATGTCTCACTTTACAACCTGCTCATATTCTCCATTAGTCTTTATAGAGGGAATTTATCGCTTTTGGCAGACGTTATTCCTCCTATTTTGAAGTGTTTCTTTCTCATTTCACAGGACCACATTGGGTGGAGGAATGTGACTCGTCTGCTGGTGTTCTCCACCGACGCTGGCTTCCACTTTGCCGGCGATGGAAAACTGGGTGGCATCGTTCTGCCCAACGATGGAAAATGTCACTTGGAGAATAATATTTATACCATGAGCCACTACTATGTAAGTAACCCAGGCTTTTTACACATGTGGCAAACACTGCTACTGTGTGTTACAGTGTTAATATGACTCCTCTCCCCATTCTGTTTTAAAGGACTATCCCTCCATTGCTCACCTGGTTCAGAAGCTGAGCGACAACAACATTCAGACCATCTTCGCAGTCACAGAAGAGTTCCAGCCTGTTTACAAAGTGAGTTATCTGTCTCTGGCACGCTTTTACTTCATTTTCATCCCCTTCTTTTACAGAATACTTTTCCTCATTCCTTCCTGTGTGCGTGTGTGTGATGATGGAAGATGTCCAGTATGTAAAAATATCCATCCAGTCCAATGCCTCTGCCGCGAGTTATGGTAGCATCTCCATAAAAGCTCTTAATTGCTTCCTTGTGCCTTGCCGTTACATCTGAGTTTCATTAAAGTTCTTTATTTATCACAGTAGCTTTTATATGCTTCAACGCAATAACAATCCCACCATTTCAAGGTGGTAATCAATGTTGTATCTATCTAAATCTTGGATTAAATGTTTAAACTGATACATTTCCAGGCTGTAATAAAAATGCACTCACGTCATTCAGGTGAAAAAGCAGTCTATTAAAGTGCATAGAAAAGCTTTCTTATCTTGTGTTGTTACTGATAGAGGTTTCAGATATCACAGGATAAATAGAGCTTTTATTATAAAAACTGTTTTCTTCTCTCTACAGGAGCTGAAAAATCTGATTCCAAAATCTGCAGTAGGGACTTTATCTGCCAACTCCAGCAATGTCATCAACCTTATTATAGACGCCTACAATGTAAGTACACTGTTCAGACTGTTGACTTTAAGTGCCCTTGAAAAACACTCTGATTAATTTATCATTTATTCACATGGGCCACATTAAAGAACTCAACAATGTGCCTTGAGTTTTAACTGTCCAAACACCTACTGTCATGTATTACTCAGCTAATCCTGTGTGTACTGCCAAAGCAAAGCTACTGATGAAGTTCTAACATTCTTGTTGTTATCTCTTGGATTTGGCAGTCGCTCTCCTCAGAGGTCATTCTGGAGAACAGCAAGCTTCCAGAGGGAGTGACCATAGCTTACACATCGCACTGTAAGAACGGAGTGGTTAGTGAGGGGGAAAGTGGACGGAAGTGCTCCAACATCTCCATCGGAGATCAGGTGAGGATAAGAACGTTTCTCTTTTTTGTTGTTATTCAAAAGTAGATGATTAATCCTATTTCAGTTGTTAATGCTTTATGTCATTGTTTATTCATGGAAATGTATTTTCTAAATTGTCTTCTCTCATGTGCTGCACAGGTGAAAGTCTTTCTAATAGTCATGCATTTTTCTGTGAGACGGGTGGATAAAAGTTTTCATTTCCTTGGTATTTAACCATTTATTCGCACCTGGAAGAACAATCATATTGCTTTACTCGCATAGAAAAAACGTGGTTTCATTCAGGTTTTTTTGTCCACATTTTTTTTTAAACAACAATCACAATGAACACCTGATACCTCAATGAACAATGATACCTCTTTTTATTGTCGAGTCTTACACATATGAGAGATGTTTTAATACAGATCATTTTTAGAGATCAAACACCAGAATGATTTTTCTCACCTGCCTCTCAGGCTTCCATAGAAAAACTTGATTCATTTTATCCAAAGCCATCAGTCTCCCACCTATGTCAGGCCTAAATGATTAGATATGAGGTCACCAAGTCAGAAACTGAAAACCAGCTTCTTTCATTCTTTGTTCATTACCTGCCCTTGGCCCTGCACTCACATCCCACACGCTTTTTCCTTTTTTCTTCTTTCATTCCCAGGTCATGTTTAGCATCACTGTGACATCTAAGGGCTGTCCTAAGCAAGGCAAGCCTGAAACCATCAAGATCAAGCCCCTGGGATTCACAGAGGAGGTGGAGATTACCCTCAACTTCATCTGTGAGTGTGAATGCAACCAGGACGGCATCGAGAACAGTGAACTCTGCCACTTCGGTAACGGCACCTACGAGTGTGGAGCCTGCAAGTAAGTCTGGAAACCTTTTGATTTGGATCTGTTTTTCGTCTTAAGAAACGCTCCAGAATCTCAACCTCTTCTGTCTCAGGTGTAATGAAGGACGAGTGGGCAGACAGTGTGAGTGCAGCAGCAACGATGTGGCCACCGAGGACATGGACCGGACCTGCAGGAAAGACAACGGCACCGACATCTGCAGCAACAACGGAGACTGTGTGTGCGGCACGTGTGAGTGCAAGAAGAGAGATAACCCCGAGGAGAGGTACAGAGGCCAGTACTGCGAGTGTGACAACTTCAACTGTGACCGCTCTGGAAACAAACTGTGTGGAGGTGAGCACGACGGAGAAAAAGACCAATAAGAGACTGCTCAGAGATGGTTTAATACACCTCGGTTGATTTGTTTCTGTTTTTTTAGGGCATGGAAGCTGTGAGTGCAGAGAGTGTGTCTGTGACCCCATGTGGATCGGAAATGCCTGTGATTGTTCTCTGGACAACAGCACGTGTATGGCCAGCAACCAGCAACTCTGTAACGGCAGAGGAACGTGTGAATGTGGCACCTGCAAGTGTACTGATCCCAAATTCCAGGGTCCCACCTGTGAGACTTGTCCTACCTGTCCAGGGGTCTGCACTGAACACAAGTAAGACTGAAATGAAGACATGTCAATGTTTTTAAAAGCTCATATTACAAACATTGATGTATTGTTTGGTGTATTTGAACCTTTGAAGGATAAGTTCACATTTCTTTAAGTATGTCTTAATAAAATATTCACACACATTAAACAGATTGAATTGATACCTGTGCTAAGCAGCATTCGTAGTTAGTTTTCGTAGTATGTATGTAGTATATAGTACGTAGCTGCTGGTTTCGCTTGCTTTCCAACAGCTTTTACACATAGATTTAAAGTTAGGTACTGTAAATCCTATAGCTCCAGATTCCCATGACTTTTATCAAAATCAGTCAAATCTGAAACAACAGACATGCATATGTATATGTATATATACATCCAAAGATCTTCTCAGAATTAATTGAAAAAGCAGCCTCCTCCATCATCTATTACACTTTTTTCAGGATTGTAATCCTGTTATTGCTATCTGCTTATCTATTGGTTTACGGCAAACAGGGACTGCTAGTAGCTAATTATGCACACTTTTCGTATCGCTAATCTATTACAAATGTAAACAAATAAAGGATTTGAAAGTGTTAGACTTTGCAAACATTTTAGAGATGTACTATATGATCTTTTGAATTTGTGAAGCATAGCTCATCTCGTTGCTTATCCCTGTATCTTCCAGGGAGTGCATCCAGTGCCGGGCGTTTGGCACGGGTGAGAAGAAGGAAACATGTGAGAGAGACTGCAGCTACTTCAACCTGATCAAAGTGAAGGACCGGGAAAAGCTGCCCCAGCCCAACGACGCCACCTACCCCGTGATGCACTGCAAGGAGAGAGACGCCAACGACTGCTGGTTCTACTACACCTACGCCGTCAACAACAACACTCAGAAGGAGGTGCATGTGGTGGACCTACTGGGTAAGCAGAAAGCTGGGCCAACCAGGGTGTGGAAGGTTTCTGTTACAGAGAAAGCTAATTACAGGGTCTGTGGTGGGGCTGCGAAAATAGCACATTTGTTATTCCCATGGCCTTGTTTTTTTTGCACGCTTATTTCAAGCTGCCTAAACACCTCTGTTGTGTTTCAGACTGCCCCGCCGGGCCTGACATTATCCCCATCGTGGCGGGCGTGGTCGCCGGCATTGTCCTGATTGGCTTGGCCCTGCTGCTCATCTGGAAGCTGCTCATGATCATCCACGACAGGAGAGAGTTCGCCAAGTTCGAGAAGGAGAAGATGAACGCCAAATGGGATACGGTGAGTGTTTGGAACCGGCTCTGTGAAAGACTAGCAGGAATAACATTTTTAATTTTTTGCTGGTAAGGTTATTTAAATGTAGAAAACAGGTGTTCTGTAAAGCCACAACTGTCAGGGAATTAACTTGTGAAGATGATTTGTTGTTCTAAGCAGCAGATGAGATTTGCAGACTTGTTGATGTCCAAGTTTCTCGCTCACATTCTCACCGGCCCTTTTGAGTGGCGCTCAAAATAAAAAGTCCACTGTATGGACTTTTTTGGGAATGTTATGCAGTCTGAGCATGGCTGGACTTTTTCCGGGGAGTGGCCACAGTTCCTCCCTTCCATGCTTCCAGCCCATCAGCCAACATCAATATGACTTCAGCACTACTCCATGTGCAGCTCAATGCCTCCCCCTAGTGGTGGAATTGTGTCAAAACCCATATATAATGTGGGTTTGGTGATGCAGATGTTCCTGATCAGTATGCTGGGGTCTTACTTATTACCATGGGCAGGGCAAACTATGGCTCCACATCCCTTTAATTTGAAGAACTGAGAGACTGTTCTGCCCTGGGTTTCCTTACAAAAGCAGCCTTAAGGAATTCCAAAGATACTTTGTGATCTCCTCATGTTTACAACCACATCATCCTGATCTGTAGCCTCAACAGTTTGGGGTTTTAGTAAATAAAAATACATTTGGTTTAGGTTCCACAAAATCATTTTCTTCCATTGTCCTCCTTTCATCCCTCTTACTTTTCTCCCCTTTTATAGTGCCTTTTATATTATTCGTTCCTTTGTTCCTGTTCTATGTTTTTCCTGCTCAACTCTATTCTTTCCTCATTCTTTACCCGTAGCAAGACAACCCAATATACAAGAGTCCTATCAATCAGTTCCAGAATCCAAGCTTTGGACGTAAAGCTGCTGTCCTTTAAGTTTGTATTTTCTCTCCTTTCCACCTCATTTTCCTGCATGGGCTTTTTATTATGTTATATTTTTCACTGAGTATCTACTTTTTCCTTTATTTCACCTGTCTTTTCAAACTATGAACTACATTTTCATAAGAGTGGAACATCAGGAAGAGACATATTACTTTCAAATTTCGTGAAAAATGAGTGCATGAGTGTGCTGTGAATATCAAAGCAGCTAAAAGTGTCTACAGGGCAAAAATACTAAAACCTTCTCTGGTAAGTATAAAATGTGTTTAAATATGATGCCTAATTTAAACCTCCTGATATTTGGTGTGAAGTCGCAAAAGCATGACGGTGTGCTAAGTGTGATTTTAAACAAATGACCTACAAGAAGGTGTAGTAGACTTATCCCTAATAACAAAGTGTGTTCTCAAATTGTCTGACTAAGCAATAACATGATTATAACTTCAATTTCTTTGCTTTCCAGGGTGAAAATCCCATCTACAAAAGTGCCGTCACGACTGTGGTCAATCCAAAATATGAAGGAAAATAACTGGTCACGGTTTTCCTTGAACTCTGCTATCAAGTATCCGACAACTGCAGTATTTACCGCAGGTCTGGGGAGTAACCTGTGGTCGAGTTTCTGTCATTTCCTTTTGTTGCTTCACCATTATAATGTACCCAGCAGCCACTGCATCTGTATTTTTACTAACACCTATGATTTATATGCATTTGTGATATTTTAGATGTACAGTATGTGTATATACTTTTAAGTTGCATATTTGCAAAAAACAATGACATGAAGGTGTTCTCTTCCTGCCACAGGACTGGTATGGCAGAGGATTACACTTTTTTTTTAACAACACAATATGGACACTATGGATATTCAATTATTCTGCAGCTTCTGTCTCGTTCTCAGACACTTCTCTGTCTCTTCGTCTCTCTGTGCACTGACTTCCTGTGTGTCTCTGTGTGTCAGACAGGACATGACTTCTATATGTAAATTGTCAGCCATAGCAGCACATAAGGGGTGTGTGTGTGTGTGTGTGTGTGTGTGTGTGTGTGTGTGTGTGTGTGTGTGTGTGTGTGTGTGTGTGTGTGTGTGTGTGTGTGTGTGTGACAACTGAAATGTTAAAGGTCCCATGTCATGCTTTTCCGGTTATTACCCGTCCTCCACGGAGTTTCGCCGACACACTCAGCCTTATCTTTTCTCAGCTGCAGCTAAGTGGATCTCCACTCACACTTCGCCACACACTCACGTGTGTGTGCTCAGGCTGAGTTCAGGCTGAGATTCGCCGCGTCTCGCAGACCTCACGCAGCAACCAGGAAACGACACCAGTAATACAGCTCGCACTGTCGGCTCCTCGAGTCTCAAAGGGTGGAGCAGCGAGCCCGTAACGTCCCGCCAACACGGCACCCAGACCCCAAGCAGCATTCTCATCTGTTTGTCATTACTGGTGTCATTTTATGGTTGCTAACAAACGCCATTGTAACACATAAACACACATCAGAGCACAGTGGGCTCATAGGGAGGGGGGGGGGCAGGAGCTCCAACAAGACAGAGATGCTGTATGAGAAAACCAATGTGATTTTGGAACATTGAACAATGTCAATCTATTCTAGTAGACCTCAACAATGGAATTATGATCAGTAGAAATGGCCATGACATGGGACCTTTAAGTATTGAATAATATTTCACTTTCAATTTTAATTTGACCATTTGTTGAAACAGCTTCACATTTTAATGCACTCTTTGTGAGTATTGTTCTGAAGGAGTAAATAAATACACAATATGAAGAATTGTTGTTATCACAAAGGGACTGTATACCACTTGTTGAAATTATGATATTGTGGCAATGTTGAACAATCCACAGATTTGTATAGTTATGATACAAGTTTAACGTTGAACATTGTTGTACTTGGTAAATGTATTACTCTTTCTCAGGTCCTTTCCTGTGTTCTTGTCAAGTACGCCAAAAATATGTTTTGTGTTGGCTTATTTTTCGTAAACTAGTGAACTCATATGTGAGTCATTCTGTCAATTTCGGGATCATATGATGGAAACAAGAGTGTTTTCTATTCCGTATTCACATGAATCACCTCTGAAATGCTTTCACCTCGCAATGCCTCTGAAGTACCACACGCAAGCCTTTAAAGTATTGTTTTCAAAGTGCCTTTTATTTCAATATCTTGTTCTCTCCCAATGCTGTTTGAGTTATTTATTAAATAAAGTACAACAAATGTCTGTGTCTTCCTGTTTCGCTAACTGTACCTATGAGGTAGATCATCCCATTTGTTCTGTAGAAAATGCAACATAAGGCTGATGGCTAGAGGCATGCTCCAATGTTTTAAAAACATTTCTGATGATACTGAAGAGTCAATAACAATGAGTTACATATGTAATTTAAGTTCAGCATTATGCATTATATATTCTGCCATGTTTTCATCTAAAACGTTATTGATAATATATAATCTATATAAGGAGTATTTGAAAAAGAAATGTTAAAAAAAATAATGAGAAAGATTGATGCAACTTAGCCGTAGAATAGATCCTCTGTGCCTGTGTTTTGCTCTCTAATGCCATCATCCCATCTTTTCTTGATTTATCAGCTTTTCTGTAGGACATAACGTTTTTTATGTATATTTATAATATAACATCTGCCCATTATATTTGTCAACTAGAAATAAAAAATGCAATGAAAGCGTTTCTTTCAAATACATAATTAGTATTATTAACATATTTAATACAAGTAGTTCAAGGGCATACGCTATATGCACAGTAACCTTGTATGTTTTCATCCCTGAAGAGAATGATTCAATTATAAAATGCAAATTAAAAAATAACAAATTCATTAGACCTAATTTTTATCCAAGTGTGTCCTATTGTATTGCAATATATAATCATAATCCCAGGGTCTGCTTTGTTATGTAATCAAAAACCCATCACCTACAAGCGGAAGTGCCAAAAATCAAACCGGATATGGTTGGAGTGAGGCGTCTTCGTAACAAGACATTAACCACTATCTTTGTAGCAAGCTGTAAACAGGAACGCAAGTAACCGAGGAACGCCGTTTTAAGCAGGCTGTTTTAGCCGTTTATCAAGAGTAACACCGCTCACTGTTCAAGAAAAATGGAAGACGACACACTAACGACGCTGAAAATACTGATAATAGGGGAAAGTGGTGTTGGGAAGTCAAGGTAAGCTGTAGTTATCTCAAAGAAAATGATGTCGTGGCTCACTGCTAAGTGAGATAGCTAGCGTTAGCTTTGCAGCCAACCAAATTATGTGATGTTCAAAGATAATGCGGCATTTTAAAAATGACTTAGACTTCTCCGCTTTAGTGGTTTTCTTCTTTAATGTAAAAATCAGACCTTGATTTTACTTTGTAAATTTAAATACAGTTTATGGTGTTGGCAGCCAAGCTAACCTTAGCTAACTGGAGGTAGCTGTGTGTGACATCACCCATTTCATGTCTGACAGATGTTGCAATCGAGACGGCTATGCAAGAACTATTCCCTATTTCTAATCTTACTTTATCTGGCAGTAATACATATATTTATCTAAGATCAAGAGGTTAACACATTAATATGAACAGAGCTAGCTAGCACTATCTTAAATAAATAGCTACATGTAACAGGTAATGTTTCAGTTAGTTTGGCCTCTTCAAAGACTGCTGTATAGCTTTGACATCACATTTGATTTTGCCAACATGTGGTAAGCAGGTCCTTGTTAGCAACCACAAATCCGCCTAATATTCAAGGTAGAGTATAATGTTTATACTGAGTCTGGCGGTGTATATGTGGTAGTATGCCAACGTGCTGAGGTTTTTCTGGCATCCACCTCTGTGGTCCAGACTGCATAAAATAATCCTGATAGCCAGTCTGATCCATCAACCATCACATGGCAGTATGTGGTATCTAGTACTGCATGCCTTCCATAGTCATAGCATGGTACATAGGTAATGAGCTGCCCACAGCTTTATTGTAAGCCTTTTGACATGGGAACTGTCTGGTTCATAATCATGTATCACTGCAAACTGATGACAGGGCCACATATTCTTAAAATCACAAAGTGAACCACAAAAGTGTGTAGTAATCAGAAGAGTGAGATCTTCAGCATGATCAACAGGATATCCTATGTTAAAGAAAATGAGTATCCCCTTCAGCCAAATGTTAGTCGAGAAAGCACATCATCTCAAATGTTTGTACTAATTCATGCCCTTAACATCCTTAAATGTCAGCACAAATGTGACTCTATATTGCATCTTGCTTCCTCTGTTCCATTTGGTTGGCATCATCCTATTTTTAGGCTCACTTAAATCTTGAATCTGGGCCTGTTTTAGTGTAACAGTAGCAATGTCTTGTTTTCTTTCCCACTTTTCTCCAGTAGTGCTGTTAGCGTTCTTAATGTAATGACAGACCACAGAGGAGAGACTGAGATTATGCCAACACCATAATGTATAGACCTAGTTTGCTTATATTTTGAGAAAACAAAACGCTGCATTTTTAGTGCATTATTGAGCCCAAGGGCATTTTCAAGGATGCAATTTTGTATTATTATTATTATGAAATAGGCTTTTCCTTAATACAATAAACTTCAGTCTGTCATTAGTTTCCAATATCATGATTTGAATGCTCCTGAGCCAGCTGTACTATTGTCAAGATGGCACACTGACTGGATAATTTTAGAAGTTGCATGCAGATATTTAATATGCTTCCCTGCAATCTGTTGAAGCCCTTAAATCATCAGGGATGCCTGGCATTGATTACACAAGTTTTATTTTACCGTAACAAATGACCTACGCAGAACACATGTCTTACTTGGCTGTCTCATAGCCTAGCTCATCAGTTGAATGGCCCTCTAACAACAAACAGTCAGCGCTCCTCCAGCATCCTTCCTCATGCCCCATGAGGAAAAATAAGAGAATTAGGCTTGGGTCAGGGGAAAAAGGGTGCGCTTATTCCATCATCAGCGCTGCGATTATGGCCTTTGCACTTGATTGGTCATAGTTAAGAAATGAACCCTGTCCTCACTGCAATCTGACGGTGATATCATCTGTGCAACGTGTAATGCAAGTGTAGATCAAAGACGTCAATAGAAAGAGAAACAGATACATAACTGAGTGAGACGCTTCTTGTCCTGTTATCTAAACGACGCAAATTGAAACCTGATCCCAGACCAAACGACTTCTCAACCTGCATGGAATAGAATAACTGAAACAAACTTCTGCTGTGTTTGTTAGTGATAAATGACGTGATCTAATTATTTCCTTCTTCCTGTCAACAGCCTTCTTTTGAGATTCACAGATGACACATTTGACCCAGAGCAAACGGCAACAATAGGTGAGTAACACATGAGCTCAGTTAGAGGTAAAGAAATAGCAGTGTTTTGTTGTGTGGTAACAGCGAGTGCATTATAATGGAGTGCAAATGAGACAAGTCTTTAATGGTACACACAAACAAGGATTTTATTAAATTAAATCATTTGGGGAAAGCAGTGTAGTCTGCAACGTGTCAGCTCATATTATATATGTTAGCTCCTTGAATGTTATTCATACCCACAAAAAAGAATGGACAAAGTGTATCCATGTATCCAACCCTATGTGAGCCTTGGTCATGAGATATTTAAGAGAAATGTTAATTAATCTGAGTGTTCAAAACTCACATGTATGACTCAATCATCCATATGAGTTTTGAACCAATAGACTTGCTTAAAGAAGAAAATAGGGAGCTATAGTAATCCAGGCAGGTAGAGATAAAAGCATTGATGACACTGTGTTCTACAATGCTTTTAGGCAAAGCTAGACAGATGTAGCAATACTCCTGAGTTCCACAAACGAGACTAAAGCGATTTCTTAATGTGAGGGTCAAAGTTCAGAGGATCAGACTCTAAACCAAGACGTCTAGCAAATGGTTTGAGTGTGGACTTCTTTAAAAACTCAGCTGACAAAGTATCATCCTTTGTCAGCTGAGAACCAAACGTTTTGATAACAGTAAGGCAACAGTGAGATCTAATGTTAGTGTTCAAGTTTAAACAGAAACAGGCCTTTATAAGATTCCTAAAGGTAGAATACTTGAAACATGAGTGTACCTAGTTTTTAGGACTTCTAAAGGACTACCGTAGACAACGATTGCTACCACATTGAGTAACTGAGGCATAAACTCTTCTTCATTCTGCCTCTTAGCTGGTACGCCCTGCTGCGGCGGCTGGCAGATCCTTCACATTGTTCTGGACAACAATCCAAACAGAACTACTGTAATCGCTTCTTGTATCAATTACACACTAATAATTGCAGAGCGTTTTAAATCAGTTATTTCAAGTTAAAGATGATTTTGTCCTGGAATGAAAGTCAATTTGAGGTCACTGTGCAGATGTTTGGCCTTTTAGAAGATCTGCTAACAGCTGGAATGAGCTGGAAGTGAAAGTAACCGCGATGCCACACACCCTCTCAGCCACAGATATATTTGATTTAATTCAAACTTCATGAAAAGGTTGGAAAAATCTGCAGTGGACCAGGCTATCAATCTTATCCCGTGAACTTTGACATACATTATTCAGCAATTCAGTCGATGTCTTTCCAAATTGTGATGGATCTGCCAATAATATCAGCTTCTTTTTAGTGTTATGAATCATTTGAAGCACAGAGGACACACCTGTTGTTTTTTAAGGCTGTAACTTCCTTCCTTGTCTTATGTTCAAGCATTCAGCAACTCCAGATTTACAATGTTCTGCTGATGAGTTTAGAGGAATGAACCACCTAGTATCTGATGTGGTTTGTAAGGCTCACAGTGCTCTCTTTGTTACAGCTAGAGACACACATCCCAGGAGAGGTTGAAACAGTTGAAACACTTTTTCTCTTCTCCCAGGTCAGGGCATGGATCTCTGCTGGGAGCTTTTGCCAAAGAGATGTCTTTATTGGAGCTACGCCTCCATCGTTGACTGAAGTTCCTTTATTCAGACAGAAATGTAATCCGCCATCACTCCATCTCGATTATTGCAATTTTCATCCCTGCCACACCTAAACTGTGTAACCGAGTAACAGTGTCCCATTAGCAGACAGTGTATTGGAAATATTACATCTTTTTTTTTCTTCTATTTGCATAATTTTGAATAAATAAATAAAATATAAAAAAAATATTCATTCGTCTTTGCCGTTCCCCTTCATTAAAAAATGAAATCAAAATAAAACAAGTGAGAAAAATGAAGAAAATGATATATATACATTTATACATTTATTTTTGTATTAATAATGAAAGTATATATATGTTATGAAGTAAATTATGTATTAATACAATGTGTGTAATACAATACTGTATTAATGGCACCTGTTTGAACTCGTTATCAGTATAAAAGACACCTGTCCACAACCTCAAACAGTCACACTCCAAACTCCACTATGGCCAAGACCAAAGAGCTGTCAAAGGATACCAGAAACAAAATTGGAGACCTGCACCAGGGTCAGTGTATGTTTTGGTCATTGGATTTTCTTTTCACAAATGGATATTCAAAAACCAAAAGGCGTTTTTCTTTATCATGGTCAAAAATGGATTTATTAAACTTAAAAAACGGGATGATTTTCATTTTCTACTTCTCAAAACAACAAATAAAATCACTAGAAAAACGGAAACAAAAAACCCCCCGTTTTTTCATATTCTGCTACCGGAAGTTGTCTTTCAAAATAAGAGCGCAGATGAGGACGGTCAATCCGTGTATCTACGGTCCATTTGTTTTCACAACGAAAACAGCCAAGACACATATTGAGCCCAGAAAATGAATGTTATTAAGGGCTGGAAATATAATAGGCCTGTGTCTAAAATGGACAACATTGTTAGGAGATTTCCACTATACAGCGATTCTGCACTGCGGTCAACTCAGCCGTCTCTCGAGTTTGTTATTATTTTTTCTTGCTTCTGCCAATAGTTATTCGTGAGATCGGGACCCTGTTGGACTCAGTACTAGTGAACTACTTCCACAACAAGTACTATGAAGTCCCTTCTGTGCTTACCTTGTTGAGTAAATCCTCTGTCCAATGTCCCCTCTGCAACCTGTCTCCTAAAAGATTACGTTCCCACAGAGCTATACTTGCATTCTCAATTACGTTAGCGAGAAACGTATTTTCTCCCACGTTTACGTTCGTATATGAACGTATCTCAAATAGTTATTTTTCTACATTATCTTCTAGAAACATATTTTCTCTTCACGTTACGTTCCTTATGAACGTATCTTAAATACGTTTATTTTCTACATATATTTGCCATTTATATGGTCTTGCTTATAATAATGATAATAGTCATTTATAAATATCATTTTAGAAACACACATTGAAATCAGTAGGCGAGGCTGTAAATTTCGCCAGCTAGATTTACTCTCAAATGCGAGGCAAAAAATATCATTTTTAACATGCCAAAAAAGCTGCCTATGTCGTTTATTGCCACCTTCAAACATAAAGCAAAATCCAGAGTTACGTGGCTTCGTATACAAACTCTAAGAAGAAAGGGACAGAACAGAAGATCCTCTGTGAACCACAGATGTGGTGTTGTTAATGCGATATGATATCCGAAAAAAATTCAGTTCTAGGATAGCCGAAAGACACATACACTACCCATAAATTCCCCAGCTACTCGTTTGGGACCTACAGTCCCTTTGACAAACCCCATGATTAAATCTTCAAGCTTCTGGATTTGGGGATGTTGGAGTGGCCCTAGGTTACGCCGAGCAGTCAAGCTCTATTGAAAATGGAATGAACCACAGGCAGGACTATCCAAAACTGGACTCGAACGCTCTCCGGAGAACTACACACGCTGGCTTATTGTGTTTCGGCAACCTTTATATATACAGTCCTATGTTTGGACAGTTCTCTATGGCATGTCTCTACTGGGAATTGTAGTTTTAAAAGATCGTTTTCTTTTTCCCAAAATTATAAAGTTGACAGTATTAAACTGTGTACAGCCCTGGAGGTTCGGGTGGATAGGAAACACATTGGTGTGTACAAATTTAAAACATGTAATTACTAAATGGTGTGAAAATCGCTTTCTGTCCATAATGGGCGCATTAATATAACCCACATGACAGCTCATTGTTCTTGTAATTCTACTCCACTACAATTCAAGAGGTTAACCTGGTATTTCGTTACATCCACTACATTTATTTAGTTACTTTGCAAATTCTGAATAATGATGTGAAAAAAAACAATCCCTTAAAAGCAGACTTTAGTTCACCTGAGTAAAATTCAGGGAATGGTGATTGTCAACGTGCCAACAATCAGGAGATATTTGATAGTTGTGTGCTGAGAAGACTAAATCTGCAGATCCTCTATAAAGTATATTCCATTTCTCGTTATTCTCTACTATAGTTAATTAAGACTGTATTCATAATGGCCTATTTTGCCATCCTTTCAAGATTTCAAGTTTTCTAAGGTCATTGACCAATATCATATACACAAGACGGTGTAGGTTATGCAATGAATTGAAAAACTTGGTCAAAGCATTTTAGTCACCACCAATTGTGCAAGTTCTCCCACTTAAAAAGATGAGAAGAGGCAGTGCATTGTGACATTAAGGATTTTGGGAGATGGCCCGTGTGGGGCCCATCTAATGCTAATTTACAGAATGGCACCTGAGCCAATAGCGATTGCCCTGAAAAATGCGCTCGGACGAAATAGCACCGAAGAGTCTTGGGGGGCCTCCCCTAAACATTTAGATTTTTCCAGGTCTTACTGTAGATGCTGTCTGGTGCAATTCTCTAGACTGATTATAAGATGAATCACAGCAATATTATAATTGTCAATTTCATTTTATTCTTCATATTCACTTGTTTGTTTGCTCTTGTTGCATCGCTTGGCATGCCACTGCATACGCTATAAGAAATACTTAAAGTGTTGGTCAAGACACTTTCCATCTGATGAAGGCAAATTGCCATTCCCCGATGTAAAAAAGTAGAAACATTTACATTCAGTTATAACTGCCAAAACAAATCATTATTTACACTATTATGGCCCCTGTTAAAAATGTTCTGTAATGTTAATCTACTGTAATTTGGTCGAATGAATGCGGTTTCCTCATCCAGAGCTGACCGAGCAGACCCGAGACAGCAGTCGAGAGGAGCCGAGTGCATCCACGAAGCACACAACATGGTGACGGGAGTTTCCGTTAGCCGGCCAAATCAAATCTCTTCGGTCCAAATAATTTCCCTTAGCGCACTACCGCTTCATTGCGCACTTTATTGACAGACAAGAAGAGTATGTGACGACAATATAGTCAATTTCTAATGTCTATACACGTAATGTGGAGAAAGAGATGTCCTGTCTGGTTGATTGTGCTTGATCTGTGGTAATGCCTCGGTTCCGGTGGGCATGTAAATGCTGCCGCTATACTTTGTGGCCTCACCCGTGCATAGCGACACTTATTGTTTAAGTGTCTTTTAATAAGCATAGTAGTCATTATCATTAGCCTAGAACTTAGCTGGGATTCTGATCAGATATGACATAACACGCGAGTGAGTCTAATCTGACGGAGAGAGAGATCAGCTGCTGCTGCGAGTCGACACCAGCTCTGCATGTCACATGCAGCGGTGAGCGGACAAACCACACACTTAAGGTTTAGGATATCACTCG